GAATTAGGATTCCAGGCCTGCCCTAGGCCAACAGCTGCCTGAAAGAGACCATGAGCAGGTGCTCTAGTTGTAATCGCTGTTTGTTGGGTGCTTACTTCCCTGGGCAAGTAGATATTTTATGTGGATCATCTCATTTAATCCTCACAACACTCTTGAGGTAGGTATGATCCCTGAACGCTCAAACAGATTGAGTGGCCCAGCCTCACCCTAGAGCAGTGGTTCTCAACCTTCTGGCCCTTTAAATACAGTTCCTCATGTTGTGACCCAACCATAACATTATTTTCGTTGCTACTTCATAACTGTAATGTTGCTACTGTTATGAATCGTAATGTAAATATCTGATATGCAGGATGGTCTTAGGCGCCCCCTGTGAAAGGGTCCTTCGACCGCCAAAGGGGTCGCGACCCACAGGTTGAGAACCGCTGCCCTAGAGGGTGAGTGGGATTCAGACCTAAATCTGTATGATGCCAAAGGCCAGCCATGCTCTTTAATCACCACTGTCTCACAATTAGATGCTGATATATTATCATGCAAATGATGCCCAACACCTTTTCACTTTTGTAGAAAGTTTGGGTTATCTGACCTGTTGTTGTTTTTTTGTATTTTTATTATTTTTTAAAAAATATATTTTATTGATTTTTTTTACAGAGAGGAAGGGAGAAGGATAGAAAGTTAGAAACATCGATGAGAGAGAAACATCAATCAGCTGCCTTCTGCACACCCCCTACTGGGGATGTGCCCGCAACCAAGGTACATGCCCTTGACTGGAATCGAACCTGGGACCCTTGAGTCTGCAGGCTGACGCTCTATCCACTGAGCAAAACTGGCAGGGCTGTTTTTTTCTTTTTAAATTGAAAATTGTTAACCAGAAAGAGGCACTGCACATAATTTCTTTTCTTGATTTCCTTGCTGCTGGTCCTCTAGATTTTAAATTGAACATCAACCTGTTCAAAAGATTTTGTCCTTAACGACATCTCTCCAGGAATCAAGATTTAATTGCAACATAATATTAACTTGGATTTTGAAATTATCAACTCTTAGGCAGGTAGGAGAATCACTTTCCTCTGGCTTTCAAAAGCACAATAAATTTATCCAGCAAGGATGTTAATTGATCAGATGACTTATCCGCTGACCTGTGTATAGCCTCCTTTCCAATCTTGATTCCAAAGACTAGGCTGATGGGGGAAATACAAATTCTAAACTTGGTCTCAAGAAAAGAGGCTCTTCCCTTTAAAAAATAAAATAAAATTTTTTATTGATTTCAGAGAAGGGAGAGGGAGAGAGAAACATCAATGATGAGAATCACTGATTGGCTGCCTCCTGCATGCCCCACACTGGGGATTGAGCCCACAACTGGGATATATCCTGACTAGGAATAGAACCGTGACCTCCAGGTTCATAGGTCAACGCTCAACCACTGGGCCACGCCGGCCTGGCTGACTCTTCTTTTGAGCACAAGGACATGATTCTTGAGAAGGAATTAAATTAAACACAACAGTGTTTTTAGTGTAACAGAAAAGAACACGTTCATTTTTATCTACAGAGACTGTGCAGGCCTCTGAAGTTCCATGCCCCTTGCAGGCATGTGGTGCTGCTGAAGCCATTTCTAGCTTTGAGTGACCTGATAACATCTATGTCAACTTTGCCTTTCAATGTCTCAGCTTTTGTGTGTGGTCCATTATTTAATCCCTCCTATTGCTGACTATACACCCAAGAAAGCTAAAGTTAGATTCTTACCCTTGTCTTTACTCCTTGGTCTGTGTTCCCTGCTTTCAGCACAGCTGACATTCACACTAGCATGTGATGTAATGGCACCTTATACTTACCTAGGCCTTATAAAGCAAAACGTTCTTTGTTTGGGCACCAATGATGTCAGTATAGATCAGCGAATTGGAGGGCAGCAGTCTAGACCCTTAACTTTTTGAAATGGGAAGACGAGCTGCTTTTGGACTTTGGTATCTCAACAAAGATAGATTCATTTCTTAGACACCGAGACTTCCTTAGACTCAAATCTAAAGACATTAGCATATTGATGTTAGAAAACTGTCTTAAAAACAAAACGTGTATATAGATAGTATAAGCAGGAGGCTTCATTAGGGTGGTTAATGAAAAGTTCACAAGGTACTGACAAAAGAAAAGACATTCATGAAAAACTGGGTAGAAACTGCCACTACTCCAGATTTTAAGAGAAAGCTTCATGGAAGAGGTGATACGGACAGTTTGTATCAGTGATGCATGGAGACATTGTCTAGAATCTGAAGGTGTGGAATTGAAGTCTGAGATCAAATCCTGTCTCCATCACTCCTAAACGGTGTGACCATGCACAGGTTACTTACTATGCCTCCTTTTCCTAATCCATACAAAGAAGACAAGAAAACATATCTCCTAGTTGGTTTTGTGGATATGAGATATTAAATATAAAAGGTAAAACACTTAACATTTAGCATTGTAAATTGCTGGCAGCAAGAGTTCAAAAATGACCCTACAAATGACCATTCACATGTAGAGAGCACTTCCTTAAGACTTTTAATTCTTGTAGTAGACTGCCATTCCTAGCCTCAATTTCTTCAGTTGTCAAGTGATGGGACTACTCTAAATGAGTTGTTTAAACATTAGAGATGTCATGGACCAGGAAAAAATTTATAGGAATGTCGACTTTTATTTTGCCAAATAAGATTTTAAAATGAAGACTGCCATCTAATATCACCACCTTTTCATTTTTATAATCTTGATATATCCTTTTAAAAAAGTTGAAAGAAAGAAAAAAATAGAAAATTTAAAAAAAGAAAAATAAGTAAGTTGAAAGGTCATTAGCTCAACCTCAAAAATGGTACTTTGAAAAGCCTACTATATCATTTCTCTCATTTTTCCATGGACTGGTAAAAGCTTGGTCCTTAATCACAGTCCAACATTAAAAACTCTATTATTTCAAGTTTATATTTAAAAGTTCAGTGCTGTCCTGGCCGGTGTGGCTCAGTTGGTTGGGTATTGTCCCATACACCAAAAGGTCTCCGGTTTGATTCCTAGTCAGGGCACATACCTGGATTTTGGGCTCGATCCCCAGTAAGAGGTATGTGGGAGGCAGCCTATTGATGTTTCTCTCTTACATCAATGTTTCTTTCTTTCTCTCTCTCTCTCTCTCTCGCTCTCTCTCTCTTTCTCTCTCTCTCCCTTCCCCTCTCTCTAAAATCAATTAAAAACATATTTTTTTAAAATAAAAAAATAATAAAAATTAAGTGCGACATTGTCAATCAAATTTCATGTTAGATAAGTATTTAAAATGAACTATTCAATTGGCTTAAAAGTAGGTTGGGAATCAAAACCTTTCAAACTCCTGGATAAGCGTAGATTTTAAAGTAGTTGTATTTCATAGCACTGGAAGGCAATACTGAAAAATAATTTGAAACTAGGGATATAATAACATGCTTAGAAAAGCCAGAAGAAAGCAGGTGATACCTAGCCCTAGGAAACAGGATAGACTAAAATCTGAACTGGGTTCTGGTCTGCATTTTTTTTTTTTATTGATTTCAGAGAAGGGATAGGGAGAGAGATAGAAACATCAATGATGAGAGAATCATTGACCGGCTGCCTCCTGCATGCCCCCCTACTGGGGGATCGAGCCCACAACCCCTGCATTTGCCTTTGACTGGAATTGAACCTGGGACCCTTCATTCTGCAGGCTGACATTCTATTCACTGAGCCAAACCAGCTAGGGCTCCGGTCTGCATTTAATGACCAAAAGCAAATGCTTCATTCGCATGACTGAGGACAGCCTCTGAAAAGAAGACAAGACAAAGCTGAATGGAGGAGACTCAGGTTATTTTACTTTGAACTGACTGAACAATAATTTCATTTTGATATTTTTGCCCAATGGTAAGGCAGTATATCACCACCCTTAGCAAAACAAGACAAACCTACCCTGGAAGCATCAGCTAGAAGCTCTTATTCTGGTATATTCCCAGAGAAAGTGGCCAGCCCGACATTTCTACCTTACCGTACATAGTACTACAATCTTAATTCACTTGAACAGCAAGATCTGTCCAGTATTTCTAAAACATTGCATAAAGGAAGGAGATAAGAGGAAAAGGAAAGGAATACAGAGGCAAACAGAATTTGCATGTTTGGACCAAACTCCTATGGTCCGTATAATCAGAGAATTTCACAGCTAGAAGAGAGCTGTTGAGAAAACTTGGGGGTCTATAGGTTATATGACTTGTCTAAATACCTACAGCAAGTTAATGGCAGAGCTGAGATTCTCCAGGCCTTCAGTATCCCAGTCTAGTTTTTGACCTCCAGACCAATGGTTCTCATGAGTTATCTGGAGCTTTTCTAAGTCCTTATGCCTCGCTTATATTCCAAACTAACAAAATTAGAATCTTACAGCAGGGGCACCCAGGTATCAGTAATTTTCTAGTTTCTAATGTGAAGCCATGGTTCAGAACAATTGTCCTAGACCAGGGTGCCCCTAATGATGAATAAAACATAGATAAGGTGTCTATAAATAAATAGGTTTTTAGGACCATCTAGCAGAACCTCTTGGTAACTGCTACAAGTTTCAGGCCATGCAAATTCTAGGCCATTCCAATTCTATTTGCTACCTATGGCCACTATTACCACCACCACCGGGTTATATAGTATTACAGAACAGAACTATGGTGGCTTCATTTTACCCAGAGTGCAACAGTTTTTCACGATCAAGACTTTTTTCTTGCTTGGAATGTTACAAATGATGTATCCAAGTCTAGCTGTAATTTGGAGCTTAAGGGGCAGTGATCATAGAACCAAGAAATTAGCTCTGAAGCTGCTGCTTTGGCCACTGTGACACCCCAATAGCTCTATCCTGTTTTCCAAGGAAAGGATTGCAGCAACACCAACTCCACCCCAAATCAATCCTCCTCTGATTCCCAGTCTTCTTGCAGGTCTCAATTTTTCTAAAGAATAGCACATTACCTAAAATCTACCACATTAGGAGGTTTAACTCATAAAAACTTACTACGAAAGTTTTTTAAATGTTTATTTGTATTAAGTGGGTAGAATGGTGCAAGAATGCATCTGGGCTCTTGTTTCCCTACCATTCACATTAGCTTGGTAAACGAAGATTAAGTAACATTAAAGGGATTGGAAGAAATTAATATATCCAGCGTGGTCAAATCCTCTAATTCACTAAAAGATGAACTGAAATTGTTGGTCCAATTCATATAAATCATGTGACAGCCTGAAGAAATTACATTCCCTTTAACTGTTCTAAACCTGTTAAAAAGGGAAGTGAACAATATTTATATTACAAGACAACAATCTTTTATTGAAACATTTTTTGTCTAAAACTATGCATAGAGAGATTAATTTCTTGTTCATAAATTAAGATAAGTCTAATATCACTATTCCAAACCAGTATTATTTACAAAAATGAACCTTTCCTTTGCTTTATCGCCAGGTTCACAGGACTAAATTTTAAACCAACTACAGTCTAGCCTTTCAAATCTTTCTGCCATCAAATGCCCAGTGACCCTTATAAGGGAGGACAGTGTTTTGACAGTAACATCATCATTCACCAGGAATGCAGAACCACAACTGAACAACAACAAAATGATCAAATCATTCCAAACAATTCCTACTTGCTTTCCAAAAGCATGCTTTGTCTAATTATCCCTTTCTATATAAGCAGGTGGGAAAGGAACTCCTTGGAGTATAGTAATGTCAATTAAATTAATCTCTTCAAAAAGTGAACATGATGGGTTAGTGTGTATATGGATGATCTACTGTGGATGACATTAGCAGATAATAAAGTAAACGTTAAACCCACAACTGGCCAGCTCAAATCGATACTTCTCATTTAATCTGGATCACATGTGCAATTCTTACCTTCTAGTTAAATACATTGCCAAAATCTTTCAAAGCAGACAGAGAATAGGCTTCTTACAAATTCAAATTAAAATGTTAAATAATAAAAATTGCGAGCTTATTATACAGTTTCTGACAGAGTCCAATATGCTGGGTGCTAAAAAGTAATTCTATGTCAGTTGCTAGTAAAAAGGTAAATCTTGTATACACATAAAAAGAAATTTACAAACTGTAGTGTCCCTGTTAAAACAAGAATATCTAGAATGGAATTTTCAGTAAGTACTTGGGATGAAGGGTAAATCAGAATAGAAGAGAAAGCAAAATCTACATAAATTAATTCCTAATTTGAGAAATCAATAAAATGTATACATAAATTGATAAATACTGTCTCCATAGGTCACTGATTCCAAGGACTGGTTAGTAGTTAGTTTCTAACTAAGTTATTCCAGGACGTTCTGATGTATGCTCTCTTCTGTGATCAGTTTGTTCTGGTAGACTCCAGCAAGCATTTGCCCTTGAAAACAGTTCCGTGGGAGAAAGCTCTGAGGCAATCACTTTCCATAAACTAACCACATAATAAGTCCGAAGATAGCAGCAATCACTGTCAGGACAAGCACCAGGATACAGATCTTCTTGCGAGATTTTCTCTGAGAAGAAAAATATGTTAAGAAGACACTCATGAAACAGGTGAAATTTTTTATTCTAAGAGTGCTTCATAAATCTGCCTCCTGGTAATTCAAAATCAACTCTATCCATGAGTGGAATATGCAGAGACCTGCCCAAAATCTTAACAGTTACCAGAGCTAGGAATTAGTGCAAGTTTTAATTCCAGGTTCCCAAATACAATTTATCAAAATAACTGTTTATACCAATACTGCTAGGCATTATGTGCAATGAAGTAAGTTATTTGTGCATGTATATATTAATAAAGGTTTTATACCTATTGTAAAATTTCATGTTCAATGTAAAAAATACAGACAAGCAGAAAGAAAACAAAATAATCACCCACAGATAAAACTGTTGACATTTTGATTATAGTTCCTCATTTGATATGCAAACTGTTATCTGATATAATTGGGATCATACTATATGATGTTTGATGTTTTTCTCACATAACATTTTAGCATAAAAATTTTGTTATTATAAACTCTTCATAAACATCTCCTTTAATTTCCACATAATATAACATTGAGTGGATATAGATAATTTACTTAATTATTCATTTGCCATTAGATACTAAAGTCATCACTCAGTTTTTAAAAGGAAACACTATTATTAAACAAATTTCTTTAAGAACATTCCCAGGTAAAATACAGCTATCCTAAGAATACAGAAAATTATTAAAATGCTATTTGTTTCTAAAAAGTCATGCAACACCCAATTGAGAAATGAGAAGGACCTCATTCACAATATTTGTACACAGATAAAGACTCAGATACGTAATAAAACCAGTTTCAATTAATATGTAAGAGAATATCACTTTCCAGAAAGTATAACGATTAGCTCCTATTTACTCATAGATAAATAATCCCCAAATGATAAATCCCTATATATTCATAGATAAACAGAAGTCAGAGTTGATTTTATGTCCATCCTCTATGGCAAAGTCAACAGAAAGTATCTGCAAAATCCTTCTTTGTACCAATTGTTACCCTAACTGAAACCCTGTATTTCAACTGTTTAGGATATAAAATTAGCCTTAAACCAAATTTAGGTATCATGTTAGCATATGGGGTTAGCTAAGTAGTTAAGAAGCTTTTATATAAGTTTATTCAAGGTTTGATGCCTTTTTGTAGATCTCTCTGCAAAGGAAAATACTAAAAACGGAACTGGCACTGCAATTATGACTACTTGTATCCAACTTAAGCCTAAGAAAAAGGCTGCAGCTGTTCTCAAGTGTCAGTGTATTCCAGCGATTTTCAACTGGTGTGCAGCAAGAATTTTTAAAAAATGCAATACCTGACCTCTTCTCCCTTAGATTGTCAAATTAAAAAATTACAACAGCCAACACAACAGTAGCGGTCTGGTATGAATGAATCAAAATTATACCTATTTTTTGTAAAAACAACAACACACCAGACAACCTAAATTATACCTATTTTATATTTTTTGGTCGGCTGCAGAGTTTTAGAGATTAGTTTATGTGTGCCATGAGATGAAAAAGGTTGAAAATCGCTGGTGTTTTCTAAGGGCCCATAAAGCTTGTAGCACAGAGTGACTTTCTCTGGTACAGTGGGGCCTTGACTTAAGAGTTTAATTCGTTCCGTGACGGAGCTCGTAACTCAAATTACTCATATGTCAAATCTTAAAGTGAACGAGTGAGACACGTGATGCTGGGCTGATGTTGTGGCGTTCACTGTGACGTTCGCTGCGCCAACTAGCGGTGGGGTATCTGAAGCTGGCTCGTAACCCGAATTTTAGCTCGCAACTCAAAGCAAAAAATCAGCCAAGAGACGGCTCGTATCTTGAAAAACTCGTTAGTCGGGACACTCGTAAGTCAAGGCCCCGCTGTACCTCCTTTTACCTGATAGTAAGCAGCTCGCTGTAACTGATCAGTGGCTCTTTCCACATGCACCTCTGAGCTTTCCACATTGGCTTCTATGCTATCTGCAAAAAAGAAGGGCAGTGGAAATTTTACCAAACTCAGATGTTTGCAAGGCAGCAAATTGAACAAACTTCTGATGTTATGGGGATCCTGGTTTCACCACCACCATTCTAACTATCCAGCCATGAAAACAAAAGTTACTAACTCCGGCCCTGGCCAGTGTGGCTCAGTTGGTTAAACATCATCCCATGTACCACCAAAAGGTCACCGGCTTGATTCTGGTCAGGGCATATGCCCAGGTTGTAGATTGGGGTGCATATGGGAGGCAACTGGTCAATGTGTGTGTCTCTCTCTCTTTCTCTCTCCTCCTCCTCCCTTTTCCTCTCTTTAAAATCAGTATTAAAAAAAAAAAAAGTTACTAACTTCGTAAGAGAATAGCCCTATTCTTTGGAAATAAACACTTAAGTATTTACAGGAAAGGGTTATAAAGTATACAACTCACCCACAAATGGTTGAGAAAAAATTATGTACACCTACGACAAGAAAAAAATTTCTAAGCTACTCTAAATTAAAATTATAGCAGCCATGGGGTACAAAAAAGAGACAGAATAGTTAACCTGTTAATAGCCATGGACCAGCTCTGACAAAAGACCGCTCACATTTGTGTATATCTATTGGAATTTAGGATTAATTTCCAGATGGCTACTTCTACATTATCTAAAAGAGAGAATAGGCAGGTGACAAAGGGCCCCAGAAGGTATTAATAATACATACCAATCAGATCACCCTGGTCATGGATCATCATAGCCAAATCTTTAAATATCTGATTGACATCCAAAATGTCAGCCTAAGGAACACAAAAACAATTAACTAACATTAGGCAACATGTTAGAGATTCATTTCCTCTACTTACCTGAAGTTAGTAACATAACTGAAGCTATTAACATAACACATGTGTTTTTTGTTGTTTTTTTTAAAATATATTTTTATTGATTTCAGAGAGGAAGGGAGAGGGAGAGAAATAGAAACATCGATGATGAGAGAGAATCATTGAGTGGCTTCCTCCTGCACATCCCCCTACTGGGGATTGAGCCCACAACCCAGGCAGGTGCCCTTGACCGGAATTGAACCAGGGACTCTTCAGTCTGCGGGCCAACTCTCTATCCACTGAGCCAAACTGGCTAGGACAACATATGTGTTTTTAAGGCTTATAAATCATATATAAAGTTCTTAGAACTGTGTAATAAGCACTTCATAGTGTTAGCTATTATGAATTATTACTTACTTGGTCCTCATGACACCCAATGAGACATGTTTATCCTCATTCTATAGAAGAGAAAATTGGGGCTCAGAGAGGTTTAATGATTTGTGTCAAGGTCTCACAACAATTGGCCAAACTGAGAATTAAAAGTTCATGATGTTTTCATTATGTTACTATACCTCCTTTATATTTAAATTAATCATTCAGCCCTAACTGGTTTGGCTCAGTGGATAGAGCGTTGGCCTGCGGTTTGAAAGGTAGCCAGGTTCAATTCCGGCCAAGGGCATGTACCTTGGTTGTGGGCACATCCCCAGTGGGAGGTGTGCAGGAGGCAGCTGATCGATGTTTCTCTCTCATCGATGTTTCTAACTCTCTATCTCTCTCCCTTCCTCTCTGTAAAATACCAATAAAATATATTTAAAAAATAAAAAATAAATCATTCAAGCCCAGCTGGTGTGGTTCAATGGTTGAGCATTGACCCAAGCACCAAGAGGTCACGGTTTGAGTCCAAGTCAGGGCACACGCCTGGGTTGCAGGCTCCATCCCCAGTAGGGGGCATGCAGGAGGCAGCCAATAGATGTTGATGTTTCTCTCTCATTGATGTTTCTATCTATCTCTCCCTCTCCCTTCCTCTCTGAAATAAATAAAAACATTTTTTTTTAAGAGTTTAAATTAATCATTCAGTAACTCTATGAAGTAAGTATCTTGGAGGATGATGAGGCTCAGAGAGATTATGTAATTTGTCTAGTCACATAGCTCCTCAGTGAGAAAACTAAGTGTTGCAGCTAGGATTACATCTCTAAAACCCATCCTCTTTTTATTGCAATACATTGCCTCTCAGAATGCTACAATAAAAACTGATACCTTGAAAGCAATGACTTCCTAATCATAACTTGACAAGAATAGTTCGTCCTATCACCCTCAATTACTTGCTAAGAGTTTGCTTTTGTTGGGACAAACTACTAGTTGCTGTGGATACAAAAGGACTTAATAGCTAAGTAGGAATTGAGGGGATCAGCACACAACAAGATAAAAAAGAAGGGCTTTTATATGGGAAATGACTAATAAATAGTATAGAACATTGTGTAGAGGAGAAAGACTGCAGGAGAGGTAGGACTTGAGTTGTGCCTTAAAGCAAAAGAGAAGCCATATAAATGGAAAGGTAACTGAGTTAAAGAGCAAATAGCCCAGTTTGGCTATAACACAGATGCAATATTGTTATTTATAATAAATATATATATCTGGTCTTTGTCCCATTCCCATCACAGAGCTCCTAAAACCTTGGAATTTCCTAAGTGATAAAAGATAAAGGTGTCTTGTTATTCATAACAAGCCTTATTCAACCACACCAAAGTTTATGTTAAAGACTTGACTTCTGGATAATCCCTACGGATGGGGGATGCTTGCCTGGGGAACCAACCTTGTGATCAGAGGTTTGGAACACTCAGCTGCACTCTGGGGCGGGGAGAGGTACTGGAGGCTGAATCAATCCCCAAAGGCCAATCATTTAATCAATCAAGCTCATGAAATGAAGCCTCCACAGAAATCCTAAACAATAGGTTCTGAGAGCTCTGGGTTGGTGAACACATGGTGTTCCTGGGAGAATGCACACCTGGAGAAAGCATGGAAACTCCACACCCTTTCCCACATACCTTGCTGGCCTCATGTATCTCTTCCATTTGGCTATTCCTGAGTTGTATTCTTCTATAATAAACCAGTAATCTAGTAAGAAACTTGTTTTCCTGAGTTCTGTGAGCCACTCTAGCAAATTAATCAAAACCAAGGAGGGGGTGATAGGAACCTCCAATTTAGAGCCTGTCAGTCAGAAGCACAGATAACAACCTGGACTTGACAATGGTATCTGAAGCGTGGGCTTGAACTCAACCTGTGGGATCTGATGCTATCTCCAGGTAGATAGTGTCAGCATTGAGTCAGGTTGCAGGACATCCAGCTGGTGTGGCAGAATTGCTTGATGTGGGGAAAAACCTACACATTTGGTGGCCAGAAGTGTAGTGTGAGAAGACAGGAGACACATAAGAGTATGTTATTTCCTACTAGTGGCCTGGTGCATGGATTCATGCACACGGAAAGGAAATTAATTAGAAGAAATATTGTAAATATCGCTATTCGCCCTTTCTCTATAAAGAAGTGTCAACCAAATTCACAATCGACAATGATAGTTCGAAACACATGTGCGATTGGCGCCAGCGAGCGCTTTCTGTGTATTGCGCAGGCGTAAGTCAACTTAGCTTTTTATAGGTATAGATTAGAACAGGGATTGTAGGATTGTATATTAGATATAGGAAATGACTGGACATGAAAATCGAGCCTGGCTAAGGAATTTGGACTTAATTCTGTTGAATGTGAAGTGCCCATTACATTCACTAGGTTACTTTGCTCAGTATGTCTCTCTCCCTGCATGATAGTATTTCTAATGTTAGAGAACCAATAGCAGGGGGGAGAAAAAGAAAGACACGATATCTTTGAAGGAAATTAAATAATCCAACTTGAGGATGAAGTATCTCATCTAAGACCAGACACTGACGGGACCCAGGGCAGTGTGTCTCAACCCTGAATGCATATTATCATCTGGGAAATTAAAAATATATATATCTATCTCTGATGCCCTGGCTGGTTAGCTCAGTTGGTGGAGCGTTGTACCAATATGCCAAGGTCGCAGGTTCAATCCCCAGCCAGGGTATATGCAAGAATCAACTAATGAATGTACAAATAAGTGGAACAACAAATCATTGTCTCTAAAGTCAAAAAATTAAAAAAAAAACACAACCCACCCCCAGGGCCTCTTGTGGATATTTGCCCATTTTTAACTTACAAAAAATAGGAGTTTCACATAGTCCAAACTAATAAATGGTGTGTGAGGGAGGAGAGCTGGGGATTTTTTTAAATAAGTCCAAGTGGTTCTAATGTGCTGTCAGGGTTCGCAACTACTGCCACAGATGAAGGTCAGGGAGGAGCAAGTGGATTATACAGCACTGATACATTAAGTCAAACAAAAAACATGACCTGGCTCTCACCTCCAGCTGCCGAATCGCCGTTTCCCTCTCCTTAATAAGTTCCAGATCCTGCTTGGTGATGGCCACCTCATCCTCCTGGCTTTGCATCTGGTTCCACTCCTCATGGCTGCAGGGAGACAAGCACTCTAGTTGATTCCTCCTCTCAAAGGTGTGCCTGAGACAGCTACAGCATCTCTTCTGCCAGCAGGGCCTCTCCGAGGATACTGCAGGCTCCAACTCCTCTGGTATCAATCAATATAAAGGCCCTGGGGCCACAATTTTCATATCCAGAGGCAAAACGCTTATAACACCAAGAAAACAAAGTCCCAGCTTTCATGGGCAAGACTGGGATGAAGCAGAATTATGAGGGATGGGACTCCTTGCTGTTTCCATTTAGGGGTACACTCTGCAATCTTGCTAGGACTTGCTAGACAAGCAAAGTAGGCAGCGATCTGAAGTCAACAAAGAATACTAGCCCATTCCCCTCCAGGACACTCTCAAAGTGCAAGCTGTGTTGGTATCTTGGGTACCAAATGGGTGGAGAAGGGAAGGCTAAATGACCTGGCAGTCCAACAGAAAAACATCTCCTGGTTTTCAGAAATCTTAAGATTTTGCTTTGAGCCCTAGCTGGTTTGGCTCGGTGGATAGAGCATCAGCCTGCAGACAGAAGAGTCCCGGGTTTGATTCTGGTCAAGGGCACATACCCAGGTTGTGGGCTCGATCCCCAGTAGGGGGCGTGCAGGAGGCAGCCAATCAATGATTCTCTCTCATTGATGTTTCTCTCTCTCTTCCTCTCCCTTCCTCCCTGAAATCAATAAAAAAATATTTTTTAAAAAAGATCATGCTTTGAGTTAAATACCTCTTAACAGAAAACTAAAGTAAAAAATTAGTGAAATGTGGTAACTCTTTTTTTCTTGGTACCATATTTGAAAGAATGGCATGTGATACATTATATTAAATATGCAACACTTTGAAAATCCAGTATTAAGCATTTGTTTTCACCAGTATGTATAAATCATACATTGTCCTTACATTAAGAAAAAAAATTCCTCCATGTGTTGGAGATACAAAGCTGAATAATACAGCACCCCTATCTCAAGGTTAGGGAAGGGAGATAGGTATCTATCTATGACAAAACATTTTAAGTTTTGAACTAATAGTACAAATACATTTCTATGGAATTACAGTAAACACTCAATGTTGATAGGTTCTGTGACTTTAAAATGACATATAATGAAACCAATTTTACCATAGGCTAATGGATATAAACAAAAATTAAGTTCCTATGGCATCTCGCCAAGGCTATAAGAAAATAAAGTTGGGGTGGGGGTGGCCAGGGAGTGGTCAATGGCGGAAAAAGGAGACTTACGTAATACTTTAAACAATAAAGAATTTAAATTAAAAACAACAACAACAGCCGAAACCGGTTTGGCTCAGTGGATAGAGCGTCGGCTTGCGGACTGAAGGGTCCCAGGTTCGATTCCGGTCAAGGGCATGTACCTGGGTTGCGGGCACATCCCCCAGTGGGAGATGTGCAGGAGGCAGCTGATCGATGTTCCTCTCTCATCGATGTTTCTAACTCTCTATCTCTCTCCCTTCCTCTCTGTAAAAAATCAATAAAATATATTTAAAAAAAAAAAAAAAAAAAAAACAACAACAACAAAAAACAGAAAAAAAACAAAGTTGAACAAAACGGTGTTGGAGGACCTACTGTAGTTGATTCAGTGTGAACAAGTTAAGAAAAGGGAAACTGAGTTGCCTCCATTTTAGAGATGAGTAAACAGAGACCTAATAACTTTGAAGAATTAAGTGAGAAAATGATAAATCTCAATTAAAGATAAAATGATTTAGAACTTTAATCTGTAGATTTGTGGCTTCATACTTATTCCTAATGAGCCAGGTTCTCTCCTCAAGATATAGACATCAGGGAGGGTTCCTGATATTTTTTATTCACCTTGATATTACTCCTTAAATAATTCAAAGATCTTTGGGAATCCCGTGTTTTGACATTGTTTTATTTGGTGGATTATAAATCAACCTCCTCTGGTTTCTCTTTATTTTTCCTTGGTTTTTTTCACTGAGTTTTAAAGTTAAAAGTATAAAGAATAGAATCCCATCTCAAGTAGCCAGCAGGTGTCTGAATAATTCCTTTACCTGTCAAACGAGACGAGCTGCTCCTCTCTTTGCCTCTCTTCCGCCTAGAAAGCAGAGGGCATTATTGCTGCTGTTATCCAGAAACATGTCACAGACACACAAAACAATAGCTTTCTTTAGCTAACGTGTCAAGAAGCAACAGCCCTTGGCTCCAACAGGATCTACAAGATGGCACAGGGCTCTGGCAATCTGTCTTGACTAGAAAATGGGCGAGAAAGAAAAACTGCATTCCAGTTTGTGCTCAGAACTGAAAGCATACTGAACACGATGAGAGAACATGGGCAGGAGAGAGGCTTGAAAATAATGAGCCCTGGCCAGCTTTGCTCAGTGGTTAGTGTGTTGGCCCATAGCCTGAAGGGTCTCAGGTTCCATTCCAGTCAAGGCCATGAACCTGGGTTGCAAGAAGGATCTCTGGCCCTGGTCAGGGTGTGTGCGGGAGGCAACCAATCGATGTTTCTCTCTCTGTCTCTCTCTCTAAAAAGTCAATGGAAAAATATCCTCAGATGAGGATTAACAACAACAACAAAAATTGAAGTTTATCCTCAGTAAATGTACTCAGTGCTCTGCTTACTTCTACAGGTTCTCACTTTCTCTTAGATTTTGACCTTAATATTCCCATGGCTCTTAGGTACTTTTGAGAAGTTGGGTTGATAAAATCTAGTATTTGTTAATTCTTTTCAAGGAGAAAGCTAGTCCAAATAACCTACCGTACTATATTCCAAGAAACAGATTCATTCTTTCTTTTTTTTTGTTTTTAACAAAAGACCAATATAATAAAAAAGAAAATTGTACATAATCCTGTCACTTTTTAAAACCTTTGTTAACATTCCTTTCTAGTCTTTGACCATATGCACACATTATTTTTTTTACACAGGTTTTACTAATCTGGCATTTTGCAGCAGTTAATGTCTATATTTATTATTTGGGGAAATAGAAACAAAGGGTAATGGTCAGGGGGGAAAACTTAGGAAAGAACATCCTGAAATTTGCAAAGGTCTTTGGGGAATAAACTTACCGAAAGTCGAGATCCAGCTCTTGCTCTGGCAATACTCTCCTTTTCCTTTTCAGACACCTTTCTCTGCACCGCCTGGAAATTGTTCAAGGCTGCAGAGAAGTCATTCATGAGGCGTTCCTTCTGAAGTCTCTGCTGGCGCTAAGGAAATTAAATGAAAACTTAAAACTTCATACTAATCTCAAACCATTTGGTTTCATACCCACTCAAAGCAGTATATTATACCTCCTAAAGATTTCCTACTGGGAAAATTACTATGAAATAGGATCTTCCTTAAATTAATAAATTTGCTCATTGCTAACTCAAATTCCTGGTTAATACCATAGGCCACGTCAGAATGAAAATATTCATTCTGACAACCCTGGGAACTGGGTGTCATTTACCTTGTAAGGCGATCTCAGAAGGAACTGCAGTTCAGAATTTTGGGTCCCTGAATAATCAAAAGCCAAATAAACGCCTTTGAACTCAGAATGGACCCAGGGGTTGGTTTTTATGAAAGTGTTAAAACTGTATTCATACCGAAACCGGTTTGGCTCAGTGGATAGAGCGTCGGCCTGCGGACTGAAGGGTCCCAGGTTCGATTCCGGTCAAGGGCATGTGCCTGGGTTGCGGGCACATCCCCAGTGGGAGATGTGCAGGAGGCGGCTGATCGATGTTTCTCTCTCATCGATGTTTCTAACTCTCTATCTCTCTCCCTTCCTTTCTGTAAAAAATCAATAAAATATATATTTAAAAAAAACAACTGTATTCATCTATGCTGAGCTCACAGCTTCCCTGAAAACCCTAGGGTCATTTTCCTTTACTATGGTGAGGTTTTAAATCTGAAAACTAGTTTGTACAAATATAGGCTACCTTAACTAAGCGTATCGATTCTATGGCTCAAAAAACACATAGTGGGCCGAAACTGGTTTGGCTCAGTGGATAGAGCGTCGGCCTGCGGACTGAAGGGTCCCAGGTTCGATTCTGGTCAAGGGCATGTACCTGGGTTGCGGGCATATCCCCAGTAGGAGATGTGCAGGAGGCAGCTGATCGATGTTTCTCTCTCATCGATGTTTCTAACTCTCTATCTCTCTCCCTTCCTCTCTGTAAAAAATCAATAAAATATATTTAAAAAAAACAAAACAAAACACATAGTGAGAGCACTTGCTGTGTGCTGAGAACTTAAAACTTCACCCCTGATCTCAACAACTTACCATGTATTTATAGGTAAAGGATGTACACATACAAGTAACAAATCATTATAAATAACTGCTATATCCAGTCAGTACTATAGGAGTTTAGAGGCAGGTATAATCAGTAAGAACTCAAGGAGTCAAAAGGGCCTCAAGAGGAGGGGTCACTGAAGAAAGAGTAAGGCGTGAGAGAAGGGGCTGGCTAGGCAAAGCCAGGCAGGAGGACAGTGTGAGCAAAGGCACCGTGGTAGGAATCTGAAGAGGACCTATAAGGCTGGAAGCAAAGATTTTTTTCACGACAATAGCTAAACGGTGAAATTGGAAAGGGAGGAAAGGGGCTGACCACAGCAGGTTTTAAGTGCCAAGCTAATAATTTTGGGACTTAATCTCTAAAGAACAAAGATTTCTGAGTAGGAAACATAATGGGTACAAAATGGTAACTTACAAAATTAGTCTGTGATATTGTACAAGATAAAACAGAAAAAAAGAAACAAGCCAAAAAGATTACTGCAATAGTCTATTGTAGATTGAAGGTTAGGAGGATACGTCTCTGTCAGTAATGGGAACACAAAAAAATAAATTTAAGAAACATAATGGCTTAGTGAGTGGCTGTGGGGGAAGGGGGTAAAGTCAAGAATGACTCAAATTTCACACTGAAGAGAGTGATGGTAATACTGAAAGCAAACTTAGATGAGGAACTTTTTTTCCTTTTTCTGGGATTTTTATTTTTTCATAAACATTGTAACAATAAGTGGGGGGGAAACATCATGTCCCAATCTATCCAAAAATACTCTTTTAAGTATAGCATACACACTTTCCAAGTTATCATACTCTTCACAATTACGGTCTTTGTTACATAATATTCCATCAAACTGATCTAGTAATTTTATGTAAACATTCCTTCTAGATTGTTCCCACTTTTTAAATATTCTAAATAAAGCTAAAGTGATAGCTAGTATTTATGATAGCTCGTACTGACAGAGTGCCTACTATGTTCATGTACTGATATAAGTACTTTATATAGTAATTCATTTAATCCGTACAAGATCCTACCTTAGTTAGGTACTATTATAGTCCCCCCTTTTACCGAGGCAGAGATTGGTTAATAATTTGCCAGGGTCACACACAGTAAGTGGCACAGGTAGAATTTAAATCCAGGAAATTTGGCTCCAGAGTATAGTTGTTTTTTTCCTCTTAGTACTTTTTCCCTCAGGACAAGTCTGGTTGAGTGGGAATATTAGGTCTAAAGACTAATTTTTCTATGATAATACGTATTGTAAATCAGCTTAGTTAAGATGTTTAGGAGGAATGGGAGGAATTCAATATAACACAACACACTACATTTCAGATGAAGAGGAGAGTTCAGAAAGGAGTTGGCAATAGAGGCTTAGAGGCTAGGGCTGGAAAAAGATCTGGGGGTCACGTTCATAAAGATGACAGGGAGCTTATAAAAGTAGAGAGGACTCCTGAGGGAGAAAGCAGAGTGAGAAAAATCACAGGATCAATGGATGGCAGAGCATGTCCATTCTAGGAAGCAACAGACTCAGAGAAGGAGGCCGAGACGCAACCTGGGGTTAGAGAAAATAAGCCCGAAAAGGTTCACCAGAATTGAGGGACAGAATGAAAGGAAGAAGAAAGTTTCAGTGGAGACAGGCTGGGCGAGAGGATCAATGAATCAGAGAAGAAAAGTGAGTAAGAACCAAAAAGGCATTGGATTTAGCAACTAAATAATCACTGATGATAGTATATAAATATGAAAAAAAATACTGAAAAGTAGAGTATATGGCTTGAGGCGTAGGACAGCAGCACAAGATGGGTAATGTGGCTAAGATTAATTAGATGAACAAAGACTTGAAAGGAAAAGAGTATTCAGCACAATAGGAGGAAGGAAATCAAGGAGTTATATTTCACTAGAAACAGTATGTTTGTAGATCTATTTCGTGTTTTATGATCCAAGATAATGGAAGGGAACGATAACATGCATAATCCAAAAATAACTTCTATCTGATTTTGGAATACATTAGATCCTTTTTTGTTTGTTTGTTAGCAGAGTTGACTTTCTAATTATATTTCGCTTAGGCTACTATTTAATTCTTAAGTACTTTCAATGCTCTGTTTGCCTCAGACCCTTAGACTCCTTTTTTACTACTAAGATTATCTACAAGAGTGTATTCTCTAAGTGCACAACTGGGAGGAAAAGAGGGGTAATTTTGAAACAATTTAGAGATATCGGATGGAACTTTGTCCATATTGAAATATCAGCACGCGTAACAACTAAAACAGCACACATACGGATAACCAAAGAATGAGTACATGAAGATTACTTTCCATCTTAACTACTCTGTAGCAGGAAGAGAAGGCATCCTCTCTTTTGTGCAAGGGGCACCAAAACTCTAAAGACTGAACATACACTTCATTAAATAGCTTGTCAGGTACAGATTAAACTAGTGATCTTCAAACTTTAGAGGCACACAGTAAGACTGACATCTTGATCCAGTATCATATACATACATACTAGTATATATGAAACAAGTTTCATGTAACAACAACACACTCTTATTTCTACTCTATGTCAAAATGATGGTAACAACACACTAATATTATTTTATGTTCCAACAGCCACAACTCACTGAGAACCCCTGTAGGCTTCATATTTAGGGCCATCATAGATAACACATCATCACTTAAAAAGTTCAACAATAAGCCCTGACCAGGTAGCTCAGTTGATTAGAGCATCGTCCCAATATACCAAGGTTGTGGGTTCAATCCCTGATCAGGGCACATACAAGAAACAAGCAATTAATGTATAAATACAGTGGGGCCTTGACTTACGAGTTTAATTCGTTCCATGACGGAGCTCGTAACTCAAATTACTCATATGTCAAATCAAAAAGTGAACGAGTGAGACACGTGACGCTGGGCTGATGTTGTGGCGGTCACTGTGACGTTCGCTGCGCCAACTAGCGGTGGGGTATCTGAAGCTGGCTCGTAACCCGAATTTTAGCTCGCAACTCAAAGCAAAATCGGCCGACAGACGGCTCATATCTCGAAAAACTCGTTAGTTGGGACACTCGTAAGTCAAGGCCCCACTGTAAGTAGAACAACAAATTGATGTCTGTCTGTCTGTCTGTCTCTCTCCCCCTTTATCTAAAATTTAAAAAAAATAATATAAGGTAAGTGCCCCCATGAAAGGTATAAAAGTTAAAAGCAGCCCTAGCTGGTTTGGCTCAGTGGAAAGAGCACTGGCCTGTGGACTGAGGGTCCTGAGTTCGATTTCAGTCAAGGGCACATGCCGGATTGTGGGCTCGATTCCCAGTGGGAGGCATGTAGGAAGCAGCAGATCAATGATTCTCATCATTGATGTTTCTATCTCTCTCTCCCTCTCCTTTCCTCTATGAAATAATATGTGTGTGTGTGTGTGTGTGTGTGTGTGTGTGTGTATACATATAATTTAAAAGTGCCTAAAATGTAAAAAAAAATGGGTAATTTTTTTAAAAACGTTAAAAAACAAAATGGACTCACAACAGGTTTAGGTAGGTGAAGGTTTTTCCCCTGGAAGGGAGAGAATTTGAGGTAGATCATGAATGACAGGTAAGAGTCCAGCCACAATGGAAGGAGCACATCTGACTTCATGAACGTGTGAACAAAAGGCAGGGCAGATCAACGAAACAATGAATCCCTATAAAAAGTGTGTGATTAATAAAAAACATATTTAAGAAAAAAAAATGAGGGCAGCCAGTGTTTTTTAGTGGTTGAGCATTGACCTATGAACCAGGAGGTCACAGATTCCCAGTCAGGGCACATGCCCGGGTTGTGGGCTCGATGCCCAGGGTGGGGTGTGCAGGAGGCAGCTGATTAATAATTCTCTCTCATCATTGATGTTTCTATCTCTCTCTCCCTCTCCCTTTCTCTGTGAAATCAATAAAAATATATTTTTAAAAAGAAAAAAAAAAAAAGTGTGTGTTTCTACCCTAGCTGGTTTGGCTCAGTGGATTGAGCATCGGCCTGCAGACTCAAGGGTCCCAGGTTCGATTCCGGTCAAAGCCCAGTAGAGGGCGTGCAAGAGGCAGCTGAATCGATGTTTCTCTCTCATCGATGTTTCTAACTCGCTATCCCTCTCCCTTCTTCTCTGTAAAAAATCAATAAAATATATTTTTTTAAAAAGTGTGTATTTTTAAGGATTTAAATGGCCACTGAATAAAATTACTTGAAAAGAGAAGTCTTTTTTTTTCCTGAGCATTTCCTCAACCTGAGACCTATGAAAGACTTGTGATGGGACGTGAAAGTGAAGGCAAAATGTAAAAGACATGTGACTGGAATATAGAGATACTAGATACAAAACAAATTAGGATGAAGCCTGAAAACGTAAAGCTGCTAGCCCAAACCCAAAAAGATGCAAACGCTGAGATTCTTCTTCAGCTAAACCTATTTTATTAGTATATTAATGTTATTATTAGTAGTAACTGCAGCCACCACATATTGAGTACCTACTAAATGCCAGGCACTTTGCAAGATCTGGTGCACACATTCTTTTTCTTGTCACAATGGCCACATACTCCCATTTTACTGATAATGAGGTTGCGGTTTAGAGAAGGTCTATCTAGCACCAAAGGCCAAGTTATTTTTGTTTCACACACTGTACTTCCATTAAAACAAATTCCTTTTTTATTAAAAAACAAAACCAAAAACCAGAAAATACCTACCTGTTCTGAGGTCGATAAGGGGAGGGGCAAGGACCCTAGTTCCTTCAGTAATTCATTTGTTTCCTTGGCAAGCTGATTTGTCGAGTGTTGCAACTGCTGCCTAAGAGAGAAAAGACAGGTTTCAGAATCTTCTCACTTCCTGCGAGCTGCTACAGTTAGTATCAGCTTATCCTCCGAGTGTCTCACAATGCAGAGAATAAAAGGGTACACGAAGAAATAGGTTCCTAGATGCCTGCGTTCACAACAAGATTCCAGAACTACCACCCAGTCAAACCCATGTCAAGGCTTCCTCCTAATACCGAGTAGAAAGAACGTGTCTCAGTGAAACCTGATGGTCAGGTATTTTACTCTTTGGGGAGAAAAGAAAAGCATATAGCGGTTGTGACAGGAATGTAAGAAGAACCACTGCCCCACAGCTAAATCTAATAGTTTTAACACGCTGGACCCTCTCACAAAACTCTCTCAATGAGTTGTCCAGGAGTTCGCACGGCTATGGTCACAGTCCACTGCCTAGAGACAGAGTCCTGGCAGTTGGATGAAATGTGCATTAAAAGCACAGCTCCTACCCTAGGGAGCAAGCTCCAAAGATCTACTCCCAAGTTCTTGCTAAAAGTTGATGCTCCTTCAGCTTTAGCTTTGACTCCCTAACCAGCCCTTTATGCTTGACTTTCTGCTTCTTCCCTCTAAAACAAAAAGCCCTATAGTGTGAAAACATATATCAGGAGTAGAGAGGGAAGGACATTAAAGAGGCAAGGATATATAATATATTAGGTGGAAGTGAAAAGTAGTGGAAATAGCCCAGCCGGTGTGGCTCAGTGGTTGAGCGTCAACTTATGAACTAGGACAGTGGTCGGCAAACTGCGGCTCACAAGCCACATGCGGCTCTTTGGCCCCTTGAGTGTGGCTCTTCCACAAAATACCACGTACAGTGCGAATGAAACTTTGTGGCCCACGCGCAGAAGTTGGTCATGGCACATGCCTGGGTTGCAGGCTAGATCTCCAGTAGGGGATGTGCATGAAGCAGCCGATCAATGATTCTCTCTCAGCACTGATGTTTCTATCTCTCTCTCCCTCTCCCTTCCTCTCCGAAATCAATAAAAAAAAACAACCCTTAAAACAACCCTTTTCACTTTTTTTTAAAATATATTTTATTGATTTTTTACAGAGAGGAAGGGAGAGAGAAAGAGAGTTAGAAACATCGATGAGAGAGAAACATCGATCAGCTGCCTTCTGCACACCCCCTACTGGGGATGTGCCCGCAACTAAGGTACATGCCCTTGACCGGAATCGAACCCGGGACCTTTCAGTCCGCAGGCCGACGCTCTATCCACTGAGCCAAACCGGTTTTGGCAATAAAAATATATTTTAAGAAAAAAGAAAAGTAGTGGAAATACAAAAAGAGCTCCTGTCAGTCATGATTTCCTCTATCTGGCCATTTCTACAAAGGTTTTCAGGGAGGACAGAGAAACCACACTATTAATTATTAATGTTTTCTTCACTGCAAAGGGGCCTTCCAAGATAAAAAACAAGAGGGAGTCCACAGGAGCCTGAACATCCCAGACAGGACTAACATATCCAGAGATATTTCATATCTCCCTGGAAAACGCTCAATGTAGTAAGTTATTCTCTCATTTCACAAAGTCTAGGACAGGAAATAAAGAACATTATTCAATATCTTTTAAAGATCAAGAAGAGAACTTCTAAAAGCAGAAATGTACTCAGAAGGATATGATCAAAAGAATCAGCCCTCGCTGGTTTGGCTCAGTGGATAGAGCCTCGGTCTGTGGACTGAAGGGTCCCAGGTTCGATTCCAGTCAAGGGCACGTGCTCAGGTTGTGGGCTCAGTCTCCAGTAGGGGATAGCTGATCAATGATTCTCTCTCCTCACTGATGTTTCTATCTCTCCCTCTCCCTTCCTCTCTGAAATCAAATTTTTTAAATACAAAATTTTTTTTAAAAAAGAATCACATGTGCCTACTACCAGTCTACTATTCTCTGACTCCCCCGGAATCATTCTGAATACATTTTCCTAATAATGTATATAGTTGGGAAATCCAACTAGATGAAATGAGCTCTGCAGATCATCAGGCCTCTGCCAATAGGGAGGCTCATTTAGGCAAAATATAGTTTAACAGAAGTAGGGTTCCCTTCTTTATTTCCCTAAGCTGTTCTGCTAAACTGCCCAAGGGAAGAAAGATCCAGAGATCAAGGACTTTAAGAGGCAGGAAGATCACAATCCATTGATTTATTTTGTTGCCCCTCTTCTAGATCCAGCTATTACCTCATGTCCCACTGCCTCTCATTCTGACTTCATAGGCCTGACACCTAAGCAGCCACGCACCAATGACTTTATGTGTGTCCTTGAAGGACCCTCACAAAACCCAGCCTTGTTAGGAAGCTACTTACAGATTTTCCTGTAGCTTGGCGGAGTCCTGCTTAGTTTCTAGTTGGCTCATCAAATTCTTTAGCTGAACAGCTGCAGAGAAGGGGGAGAAAGACTTGTTTAAAGAAAAATAGATTCATCATGAGCACCCTACATCTAAGATCACCAGTTTCTTTCTATATCCTGAACAAGTACATGCAACTAATAGAAAGCTTGCTATGATCAAAACCTTGGCATATACATATACATTCCCTTTAAAACTAAAGTCCTGCCCAGCCAGCATGGCTCGGTGGTTGAGCATTGACCTATGAACCAGGAAGTCACGGTTCAATTCCTGGTCAGGGCACATGCTGGGCTGCGGCTTGATCCCCAGTAAGGGGTGTGCATGAGGCAGCCAATCAGTAATTCTCTCTCATTGATGTTTCTCTCCCTTTCTCCCTCTCCCTTTCTCTCTGAAATCAAAATATGTATTTTTTTAAAAAACAAATTTCGGGGTTCACCTTTGTCCTAAAGAGTAACTACATCTCTAAGTAGAGGGTGATGGTTTTGTTCATCACCCCCAAAGAACTTCTGAATTCTTCCAGATTTCCCATGGTACTGGATAAAAATGAAATAACTATTTATTTATTGATGTATTTATTTATTTATTTTTATTGAGTTCAGAGGGGAAGGGAGAGGGAAAGAGAAATTGAAACATCAATGATGAGAGAGAATCATTGATCAGCTGCCTCCTACACATCCCCTACTGGGGATCGAGCCCTCAACCCGGACATGTGCCCTTGACCTGAATTGAACCTGGGACCCTTCGGTCCACAGGCTGATGCTCTATCCACTGAGCCAAACTGGCCAGAGCTGTAATCACCTTTAGAATTGCCTTAATACCAAATATCAATTCACAATAAAAACTACAATCCACTAGTACACAATAATTTTTTTTATAGCACACTTTTTATAGCAAAGACAATGTATATTTTAAAAAAATATTTTTAAAATTGATTTCAGAGAGAGGAAGGGAGAGAGCTAGAAACATCGATGTGAGAAAATCATCAATCGGCCACCTCCTGCATGTCCCATACTGGGGACTGAACCTGCAACCCATGCATGTGTCCTGACCGGAAATACGCTCAACCACTGAGCAACACTGGCCGGGCAATGTATATTTATTATTAATAAAAAGTTACCACTGACTGAGCACCTCTGTGTGCCAGGCACTATATCAGGAGCTTTGTATACATCATCTTACTTTCACAGCAAAAAATCTGAAGCAGATATATCTTCATTTTGCAGGGGAGGAAATATAAAGAAGTATCTTATATAAGGGTACACAATAAGTAGAAGGGCAAAAAAGTCAACCTCAGTTATATACCTGTGTTCTTTCAACTATGCTAACTATAGTCAAATACATGGTTTTGTTAGATAATTCTACCTTTTCCTAGATATTTTGCTAAGACTAAGGAATGATCATGTTTGAATCCTGGATGTTTAAGCCTCTAGCCCTGAACCAGCAGTGATCCAAAGGAATTGATTATCTAGCAGTAAGAAGGAACACTTTTTAAAAAATGTATTTTATTGATTTTAGAGAGGAAGGGAGAGGAAGAGAGCGACAGAAACATCAATGATGAGCGAATGATTGATTGGCTGCCTCCCGAACACCCCCTACTAGGGATCGAGCCTGCAATCCAGGCATGTGCCCTTGGCCAGAATCGAACCTGGGACCCTTCAGTCTGCAGGCCGACGCTCTATCCATTGAGCCAAACTAGCTAGGGCAAGAAGGAGCACTCTTAACAACAGCCTGCCTGGGAATCTGAACACCCCCACCCGTCCTCATTGATTTCTGCAACGGGAATAGAGCCCTCAATTTCTTTTGTGTCCTGCTACCATGTCCTTTTTTATGCTGTGGAAGTTCTAAGTTCATTGAGCATCCTTATAACCAGTGTTTTGAACTCTGAATCTAGTAGATTGCCTATCTCCGTTTCTTTTTCCTCTGGAGTTTTGTTCTGTTCTTTCATTTGGGACATATTTCTTTGTCTCCTCATTTTGGCAGCCTCCCGGTGTTTGCTTCCATGTATTAAGTAGAGCTGCCACGTCTCTGGGGCTTGATACAGTGGCCTAATGTAACAAGTGTTGTGTAGGACCTAGTGCCACAGCCTCCCTGATCACCCAAGCTGGGCACTCCAGGCGCTCCTCCTCCACCCCATGTGGGCTGTGTACACCCTCCTATTGTAGTTGAGCTTGGACTGCTGTTGGCACATCGATGGGAGGGGTTTACCCCCAGGCCAGTAGGCTGCAAGGATTGGCTGCAACCACTGACTACCAATCCCTGATCACCGTGCAGGATCAGCTGTGCAGGGACCACCCCATGGAGCAGGACTTATTTCAGCGGGGCTTTGGTGCCCACTGAGTACACCCCTTGAGTGTGTCACTTGAGGTGGTTGGGTGGTGCTTCGAAATGGTCTGAAGCTGTCCACTGGGTGTGCTGGGCCTCCTGAAGGTACAGGCCAACGTCAGTGCCACCTACTTTCTGCCTAGGGCAGTGGTTCCCAACCTTGGCTGCACATTAGAATCACCTGGGAATCTTTTTAAAATCCTGATTTCTGGGCCTCATCCGCCGGAAATTCTGTTTCTTTGTTATGGGGTGGGGCTACAACATTAGTAACAAAGAAACTGAATTTCCGGAGGATGAGGCCCAGAAATCAGGATTTTAAAAAGATTCCCAGGTGATTCTAATGTGCAGCCAAGGTTGAGAACCACTGGCCTAGGCCCTAGGGCAGTGATGGCGAACCTTTTGAGCTCGGTGTGTCAGCATTTTGAAAAACCCTAACTTAACTCTGGTGCCGTGTCACATATAGAAATTTTTTGATATTTGCAACCATAGTAAAACAAAGACTTATATTTTTGATATTTATTTTATATATTTGAATGCCATTTAACAAAGAAAAATCAACCAAAAAAATGAGTTCATAGGTTCGCCATTACTGCCCTAGGGTGACCCAGCATGAGCTACAAAGTGATCTGCAGATGGCTGCTACCTGTTCTGGGCTTAGAGGTGCCCAGGTGAGGTCAAGCTGTGAATCCAGACCAGCTGCTGCTAGTGCTCGGTGTGGGGCCACTTTTCATGAAGTATGGGCACAATGAGACCATGTGCTGCTCTTTTGAGAGGTTTTAGGAAAGTCAAAGCATGAGCCAAGACAAGCCATTCCTATAAAAAAAAAAAAAAAAAAAAAAAGCCACTAGAAACAGCTTGGGTGGGCCCCACAGGTTGGGTTGGGCAGGCTCTCTAGAATCACTAGGGTGGGGCAAACAGTGTGAGCCTGGTGGATGCAGACTTAGATATGGTGCCTGCCTGCCAGCTCTGGGGGTCTCAGAAAAGGAACAATGGCCTCTGCCAGCACTTTTGTGTGACAGAAAGCCACCCCACCCCAGCTTTTACCCTGATAACAAATGATTCAGTTCCTCCCCTCATGTCCCAGCTGCCTTTCAAGCTGCTTGCCTCCGGAGCTGGAACACAGAGGGAGTAAATCAGAGTAAGTCCACGTGTGGGCCCTTTAAGAGGAACTGCCTTGGGCTCCAGCAGCCTTCTGTCTCACTCAGCCATAATCCCTGCTGATTTTTACAGCCAGACGTTATGGGGATTTCTCTTCCTGGCACTGGAACCCTGGGATCAGGGGCTGGTGTGAGGCTGGGATCCCTCACTCCTCAGAGGGACCTCTGCAGCCAAAATATCCCTCCCGATTATTACCCATCACACGTGTGGGACCAACCCATTCTGCGTCTCTGCCCCTCCTACCGGTCTCAATGTGGCTTCTTCTTTAAATCCCTAGTTGTAGGACTTCCATTGAGCTAGATTTCAGGTGTTCTGAACAGTGGTTATTATGTAGTTTAGCTGTAATTTTGATGTGGTCGTGGGAGGATGAGAGGACTGCATTTACCTACAGTCATCTTGATGGGAAGTCTACTATCTACTGTCTTTTTGCATCTACAATAACATACCTTTGGAATGTCAAAGTTATCTTTTCCAGACCCCTCAGGACACAGCCATCACACCAGAACATGAGGCCCCACAGAACCCTTCCTTGTTATCTTATTGTCTACACACCATATTTGTGTTGTAATTGGTAACTATTGTGTACCTACCAATGTAAAAGAAGTGTCTCTTTGTTTTACTTTCTATCCAATTTCAGAGATTTCCCTGCTTTGCTTTCTCCCACATCTCTAATCTACCAACAATGGACTTCATGTAACGCCCCCACCCACCCACCCGCAAGTCTCCTTTGATTCTAATGTATAAAATAAGCTGTAAGCCCTGAGGCACCTGTTAGTAATTAGTGATTTCTGACAAAATATTCAGTTTAAATATATAGAAATATGGTTTACCCAGAACATTGAAAATTAAACATTTAGAGCCTCCAGGGGCATTCTTAAAAATAATAATGAGCTGTAAAACTGCCATTACCTGGAGCATTTTCTCAATTCATTGAGATTTTGCTTCCTGGCAATTGTCATCAGTTTGGCTCAAGTAAACGCTTCTACAAGACTTTTTCTCAAGCTGGACTTTCTTTTGTGGACAGTCTCTAACTTTGATAAGAAACAATGATTAAGCAAAATCTTCTAATTGATTGCTGGGTGACTCTACTCCTAAGTGGCAATTGAACAACCTAGTCCTTAGCAATATGCACAAGTTACTTCTCCCTAGCCAAAACAATCACTATATCATGGATGTGTGAATCCAAAATTTCTAAAGTCAAGAACATATAGGTTTATAGCACTTTTTCCCCCATTTTTTTAAAATCCTCACTTGAGGATATTTTTCCATTGATTTTTAGAGAGAGTGGAAGGGATGGAGGAGAGGGAGAGAGAGAGAAATATCAACATGAAAGAGACACATCCATTGGCTGCCTCCCACATGTACCCTGACTCAGGCTGGGAATCCAACCCATGATATTTCAGTCAATGGGCTGATGCTCTAACCACTGAGAAAAACTGGCTAGGGCAGGTTTACAGCACTTTTAGTTATGATTTTATCTTATTTTGAGACCATGTTTTTCTAGCAAAAATGTAACTAACTTTATAATGGAAATATAGGATTCACTTGA